CATAATGAGGGGAAATAATACTCATAAATGTGGTTGACTTATATAATTAATTTCTTTCTTTCTTTTAAGATTTATTAATGGGCATTTTGTTGCTGGGTAGGACTGTGAAGCAAAAACAAAAGAAGGGAACGACAGCAGGCAGCATGAACTGTACAATGTCCTGTGGCACGTGGCTTTCCTGCTCAACCTTGTGCGTTAAAGCATAGCTGATTTATTTCCTCTGTATTTGCTTGCCATTTGGAATTATATTAGATTTACATATAACAATTTGACAGACTACTGTCCTGTAGAGCTAAAAAATCAGGGGTGTCAAACTCCAGTCCTCGAGGGCCAGTATCCTGCTTGTTGAGATATCCTTGCCCTACCTGCTGCTGATTACCTGGATCAGGTGTGCTTTGCCAATAAGAAGTTACAAGGGCAGGTTAGTTGGAAAACAAGCAGGACAGTGGCCCTCGAGGCCTGGAGTTCAACACCTGTGTAATAAATAAATACATGAAATTTACTGGCATGGAATCTGCAGCCTGATCAAACAATTAGACTCAATGTGCTAATAACAATCAGCAAAGTTTTTAGTTTCAGGCAAAATCCTGAATGAATCCAGGTCCCTGAATGATTCTCACTTTTATTTTCATGATAGTTTGGTCCAGCCTTCCTGCTGAGCAGCTCAAATAAGGGAGCAAGTGTAGAATTTTTGCATTTTTATTGAGCAAAGGGTGCTCACACCAAATACTAATTAGTTTTTTGTTTTGTCTAACTCACAATAAAAAATACAAATCACGGCATTGAAAGCATCCTCCATTCAAATAGTTTTTCAATAAGCACCTAAAGCTTTTGTCCCCAATATCCATTTTGGTTATTCCTTCTCTTTTCGTCCGCCTTCTATCTGTTATTAGATGCTCAATATCAATATCATGCCAATAAGGCACATGCGATAAACCGTAAATAGTTATGTATCTGTTCTTTTTCATTCCTTTGCACATGTGTGTGGGTACTCTTGTGATGCTTTTGGGACCATGCACATACATGAGGTGCTGCAGTCACTGATTACTGCCACTAGTGGGAAGCCTAAATCCACTAATAAGATAAGAGCAAGTCTTTCATGGTTTAAATGATTTTGCTTGTGCTGCAAGATTTGGATTCTGTTCAAGCTTGTTTTTGAAAAACGTGTCAAATAAAAACCCACGAAAACATCAATACATACAGACAGGCAGAGAGGGTAAAAAAGACAAGCCCTTCAAATCTGACCTTTATTTTGACACAGGTTAGTCGGTGACACCAAAGCCAAGTGGTGGCCTTAGAGTTCTGTGAGGTGAAAAAATATGGGGCTTGTTTTCCTTTTACCATAGACGTACACCCACAGTACATTAAATACGCTTTCCTGCATTTATACATACATGCAAATATAGATGTAATACCAGCCTTAAGATCAAGTGAAGTCGTTTTAATCAGAGAAACTCAGGAAATGTTCACTCTGAGGGCCAGAGGACTAACCTTTTTGGACTTTGTCCTATGGTTTCTGGGCCAGAAACACTCATTTCATGCTATGAGTTCTGAGCTACTGGCTCAAGATGGAGCCAAAACCTCATTTGGCAGCCTTCAGGACCTGTGGCATTTAACTGGAGCTCATATCCAGTGTGACCTCCATCAGTCTTTCAACACAAAAACACTCAAAGGATGCTGATTGTGAAATGAACAAGCGAACTGTGTGAGATATCTGTGATACTTTTTTATTGATTGTTCACTGTGCTCCCTGGTTTACCAAAATAAATGACATCGGGATAAGGAGGCTGAAGGACAGAAAGTAATTTTGATTAAAAATAACATCTTGACACAGTTTGATCAGACTGCAGGGAACCCCCACTGCCGACAACACAGTAACCCAAAATAGACCAGCAACCTCTGCTTTCCTCGGCTGTCAGATGGCTAGCACACTTACCCAGACTGGCAAAAAACAAACAAACAGCAACAACAAAACACCTCTAACCTTTTAAACAAACCATCATCCAACTCCAATTTGCGAATCTGTGGTGTGTCAGTGTCAGTCATTGCAATACGCTCTTAAAGATCTGTTTTTGTTTGTTTTTTTTAAATTAAGATTGGGCTGAGAAGCAGCTGTTAGTGTCTTTATGAGCTAACCGGATCTGGAGATGCTCACAAAGCACTGATCAATGTGTCACCCAATGTGATAAAGTTACACAGCCAAATGGAACTATAGTTTTATGGAAGATGAACAAGAATATCAGTCTGAGTGTTTTCTCTAACAGAAAATGTTGCAACAGAAATGTTGCAGGATTGAAATCTATGTAATGACTTTTCTTCATTCTTTCCTTACGATCAGAAATAACAGACATTTACAATACCTCTTAATATTTAGGCTGTACTTATTATTAATGAAGCATAACAATAATATCAGCATGAAAGCAATGTTGCTCACTGCTGTATATCTTGCAGTACAGAAACATGGAAAGTAATAAACAGAGCGCGTCTGGTTATTGCAGTAATAAGAGAATCTCTATTATAACAACAATAAAATTAAATGTGATTTGTCTGAGTAATGAAAACTGGTTGATTTGAATAGTTAAAAAAGAAAACTCTGCCATTTCAGTTGTCAGTGTGACCGAACATTTACAGTATACTGTAAAATGTTGTGGCACATACATTTTGTGATAAATATTTGTTCTGTTCTGTTTTTTTTTTCTTTAGAAAAAAAGAAGAAGAGTGTTTTTAATTTTAATGGCGGTTGGTGCCAGATGGGCGGGTCTGAGTATTTCAGAAACTGCTGATCTACTGAGATTTTTCCACGCAACTGTAACTAGGATTTACAGAGGATGGTCTGAAAAAGAGAAAATATCTCGCTGATGTCAGAGAAGAACAACCAGATTGCTTCAGGCTGATAGGAAGGTGACAGCAACTCACATTAAGCACTTGTTTGGGGAGGCTGTGGCTCAGGTTTTATGAATGAATGTTAGTGGATCAATCCCTGACTCCTTGAGCTACTGAACTTCAAGTTACCCCCAAGCACCTGTGAGAGTGTATGAATGTTAGGTTGTATGAATTGAATGCGTGAATGTGACTTGTAGTAGAAAGTACTTTAAGTGTTCAACTGAGTAGAAAGGTGCTAAATACATTATATTGCCAAAATTATTCCCTCACCCATCCAAATCACTGAATTCAGGTGTTCCAATCCCTCACATGGCCACAGGTGTATGAACTCAAGCACGTAGGCATGCAGACTACTTCGAAAAACATTTATTAAAGAATGGGTCGCTCTCAGGAGTTCAGTGAATGTCAGCATGGTACCGTGGTAGGACGCCACCTGTGCAACAGGTCCAGTCGTGAACTTTCCTCACTACGAAATATTCCACAGTCAAAAATCTAATTGGAAGTGATTGGGAATGACAGCAACTCAGCCATGAAGTGGTAGCCAATGTAAAATCCCAGAGTGGAGTCAGTGGATGATGAGGTCACAAACTTTCTGTAGGGTCAGTCGGTACAAACCATCAAACTTCTTGTGGCCTTCAGATTAGTTCAAGAACAGTGCACAGAGAGCTTCATGGAATGGAGATGCATGCCTGAGCAGCTCCATTCATTCAAGTCTTACGTCAGCAGTGCAAAGCATTGGATGCAATTGTGCAAAGAACGCTGCCAGTGGACTCAATCAAGCTTCTCGGTCTGGCAAAATATACTGTATATAGAAAGTATTTCTACAGAGTATATCTACAGTATATAGAGAGATATTGTTTATACAGTACTTAACTTAACTTAGTCATACTAGTTATTAATCTTTGCCTTTCTTCCACAGCATGTCTTTTATCCTGTCTTCCTTCTCTCACCCCAACTGGTCGCAGCAGATGGCCCCTCCTCCCTGAGCCTGGTTCTGCTGGAGGTTTCTTCCTGTTAAAAGGGAGTTTTTCCTTCCCACCGTCGCCAAAGTGCTTGCTCATAGGTGGTCGTATGATTGTTGTGCATTTCTCTGTATTATTGTAGGGTCTACCTTACAATATAAAGTGACTGTTGTCATGATTTGTCGTTGTATAAATAAAATTGAATTGAATTGAACTTAATCCTTTAATAGACCAATTGCCATAAACACACAAAAACACAAACATTGAAATCTATCCATTGTTATTTATTAGGCAAACAATAAACTAATATCAACATTTTTATACCAGAATTTGAGCTGGCACACTGGACACCTCGGATAAGTCCGATACTAATCATGGATAGCAGGTATGATCTTTAATTTGGCCTCTTAATCAAAAATAATGTGCCTTTCTAGTTTTTTATTCAATTGTTCTTTAATAAAATAGTGAATTTGAACATTCATGGATAGAATAGTTATATACAAGCATTAAAAATATCATATTGATGAAAGAGCCTACGCTGACTGGAGGAGTAACCATCACAGAAACATAAAAGATAAATACCAACACTGTTAATGTGGGGCAGCTAAAAAAGGTTGGGCCATGGCATAGATCCCTCTAACAGAGGAATTACTTTTCTGAATAAGCCTACATTGGCCACACAAATAATACGAGTATCAACACTTACATTAGGTGGCACTAGTGCATTCTGTTCATTAATAGAGTGAGAGAATAATCAAAAAGTGAGATTGAGGTATTTAATGAATGCACTGAGAGGAGAGAATTGAAGGAAATGACAAATGACTGAGAACAACATCCTGTAACAGACAGAGCTATATTTTATGGCATGACAGATGACTGAAAGCTTGGGCGAAAGGGGCTAATAAGGAAGGGGGGGAGGGGGCACACCAGACATTTGCAGCCTTCCCTGCCCCCTCATCAGTCTCACGGGAACAAGGGATTATGGAAATGTATAAATGCAAGAGAGGGGGAGTCTGACAGACAGAGAGGAAGAGAGAAAGGCAGAGGGGAGAGCAAACAAGAGCGGGAGGGAGACAGAGCGATGCTATTGGCTGACCGTTATAACATCAACCGTGATGGAAATATTTCTCTCGCAGTCTAAGAAATAGAGGAAGAGACAGCCAGAGACAGTAGACTCAGGAAGAACATTCAGGTCTGTTTTCAAAATCTTTGAAAGGGATGAAAAGAAGGGGGAGTTAAAGAAGAAAGAAAGAAAGGAAAAAGAAAGCAGGGTACACGAGGAGCAGGAGAGATGATAGTAAGGTGGACTCAGTAACTTATGACTCCTGAGGGCTGTGGAGATTTTTTTTTTTACTTAAGAACAGGAGCGCTTTATTTTTCTTTTAAATCAGCACGAATGGGTTTCAACATGTAGACACTCTGCAGGCTTCTGTGTAAATATTTCCCTGCTAGAATTTAACTATTTAACCTGCACATCAGCAGAGACAAGGCTTCACGTTTTTCTTTTTGTTTTTTGGAGATAACTGAGGGATGCGCTTGAGACAAACATGCAGAGCAGACAGTTCTGACATGGTGTCGACCCAAATTGACAGAGAAGAGGAAAGAGTGGACTGTTCAGATGCAGACACGTCTCCTACCAGGCACAGGTATTCGCTACTCGATATTAAGGTCAGTCAAGATGTCGATCCATGCTAACTGAAACTATCAATAATGTATCGTGATGTCGCATCTCTAAGCCCTCTTGAAGTGCTAACTAATCTTTCGATTCAATTAGAGTATCTGCTGCCTCAGTGATTCACCCTTCTCACTTTGTGAAATCAGCAGTGGCAAGTTGTGATTTGCTTTGTCAGAATATAACTGTGTAACATGCAAAGCAATACCTTGAATCTCAGCTAGGATGTAAATAATTACTCAGCAGTTTAGCCATCATTATAAGTAAAGACTCTGTAAATAATAACTCACAGATGTAAACCTGTTAACTATGATATGGAAATATATGCGTCATTAATTGTTCTGGATCCCGGAGCAACAGATGAACAGAAAGCCATACAACAAACTACAAAAACTACAAAAAGCCATAACCGACTGGGACAATAATTCTCGCTGTTTTTACTGCTCTTAGTATCGACTAGTAACCTGTGCTTCTGTTGTCGGCGTGTCAGTCAGACTCTTGGTGGTTTGTCAGTAAAAACAGAAAAGAAAAAAAAAACAAACCATGATGTGTAGGCTTTCTCTAAAGAGAAACTGCAGGAACGACAAGGAGGAGACAGACATTTTCCCTGTCAGAGACTGAAAAGAGGAGCACTGGGCCAGCGGCAGACTACTGTGGCTGTGAACAGACACACAAGTGCTTCCTAGATCAAAGCAAGGAAGGAGCTGTCCTGCTGTCAGATTTACAAGAAGAGACAAAGACAGAAAGCAAGTAAGCAGTGGAGCTGCGACGTCAGCTGATTATTGATTGTTTCTAAAACTGAGTGCTTTACCCACCTGGACAATATAGACTCAGCTTGCATCAAAGGGGGAAACCAACAATAGCCTCTACCACAGTAAAAGGAGGAGGGGGAGTGACCAGTAGCCAGAGAGAGGCAGAGAGCAGGGAACCAGTTTCCTTTCTCTCCCTTCACCCGTGTCCTTGTCAGGCTGGCTGGTGCAGCCATGGCGTTCACCTTTGCGGCCTTCTGCTACATGCTCACCTTGGTGCTGTGTGCAGCTCTCATCTTCTTTGTCATATGGCAGGTGAGTGGCACGGTGAACACACCAGAACTAAGACTGACACACGTAGGGCCTGCAGCATCCTCACTGTAGCATCCCACACAGGCAGACTAGCGCGGCCGCCTACACACAGGTGTACAGAGCTGCCGGCAACATAACATACACACTTCAGCCCCTCTAGAGATAATGATATGCATTAAAGGTGTAATTGTACTTATCAGACACTTCAAATGATCTCCTAAGAGCCACCCGATGACACTTTGACAAAAAGCACAGATTCCTGCTGGCTTCATCCCTCCACATAAAAGCAACTTATGATCCCAGAGAACTGATGATAAATATTTCCACGTAAGGCGTTCGGGCTTCAGCAACCTCCAGATAATGAGTACAGACAGTCAGCAAAACACAGTGATCATAAATCTCACCACCAGACTGTTGTGAATCTGTCTGCCCGCAGGCATTTTCAGTGGAATTTGCACAGCTATCGCTGGAGACCAGTGCACTCGGTTTGCCTTTTACACAGACTCAACAAACACGGCAGCTTTGATCTCTCACCTTTAACATTCCCTCCGTGGAGGCAGGAACACGGCGAAGCACAAAAACGCATCATTATGAATATAGGACTTGAAATGACTAACGTACCAATTGACTAAGTGGGTGAGACTACATATGACTCAGTGAGTGTGTCTGTGTGTGAAAGAGACAGCGAGAAGCCTGCGTCTGGCTCGGCTCTCGAGCATGTGACCGAAACGCTTATCAACCTATGATTTTGTTCACCCCTTCCCCCAGTCTGCTTCCACCCACGGGCACAGCACCCCAACTGTATGTGGCCGTCGACCAATCAGAACCTCGGTTCACTGGTATAGTAACCATGGTGCCCACTGAGGGGCTCATCATGTCGCCATGGAAACTGCATCTGTTTACAACAGAGCTAATTGTGAACGAAGACGAGGGCGAGCCATATAGGCTCGTACAGTATGTGGAAGGTGCTCTCCCCTTCGTGCCATCAGTCACTGCTGATGTTCACTTTTCTGCAAATGATGTCTGCTTGTTATGGCTTTTCAATGAGCCGTCAAAGGGAAGCTTAGCTCTTTAAAACCTGAGCCGATGATAAGCACAGCAGGTGGCCTTTACACTCCGAATTATTCGTGTTTTTATAGAGCTATTAATCAGGGAGCTAGTGAGAATAATTGTCACTTATACTCGCCTCACTGGAGGCAGTTAGAGTGTATTGGTGTGTCTGAACAAGTGCCCTCAGTATATTATATTTCAATATGCAGAGAGACACTCAAGACAGTGTATGTACCAGAAATGTACCGCAATGCTCTTAAATATCAACCCAGCTAAAAAATGCTCAGTCAAAGAGCTTCTTGCATTTTAAATTTCTCAAGCACTTCTTGGACGACTCCTGGCATTTGTGTCTTAATATTAATCTTCCAATGTGAACTTAATTACTGGTCTCAACGTAAGAATCAAGCCTTATGTAATTTCTTAGTGCAATGCATTTATCTACTCCTGCAGCTTTTCATAGTTTTGTTTTTTTTACAGGAATTGGATAATGCAAAGCTGTATGGGGTGAATTAACCATCCAAGCTGTTCTTATTCAGGGACAAATTTCAATCAAAAATCCTTTAGCACAAGCACTACTACATAATCACACATGATGTCAACACAACATGACCTTCCTAACAGCATAAAGGGCAATAGCAAATGTCTGCATTTACATATGCCACTAACTCACCATATGTACTCAAAGTGATCTGAAAGCAGCTGCAGCTGTGGATGTAGGGATCGCAACAGTGTACAGCCGACTCAGCCGAACCAATTTTACGAGTGGCGAGAAGACAACAGCTACATTTGCATTACAGTTGCAGCGTAGTGGTGGTGAAACAAAAACAAGCTCACGTGTCCAATATTATTATTTTATTTTATTATTTTTTTCAGATCATTGCGTTTGATGAGCTTCGCACAGACTTCAAAAACCCCATCGATCAGAGCAATCCCACCAGAGCGGTAAGAACCCTGCTGTTTCACTTCTTGCAAGAATGATCAAACCTTCATGTGCACACAGAGAAATCCCTTCTTTGTACTTTCAAGGAGACTATACATTTAAGGTTTTGCCCCCCAAATATTGCCTATGCTGCATATTTTCCGAGCACAGTTCACAAAGTCTCACGTTCATTTCATAAATAAACACAGCAAACGCTTTTTTCCAAGCCTGCAATCACCAAAAAAAAGGAAATCATCATGTTATGTAAATGAGAGTTTGGGGTTTTTGGAGCGAAAGCTTTCATATATTTAATTTGGCTACATTTATCCTTATTCATTAATATTTCTAAATCAAATATTTGCCCTACTTTGAAAACACTAATCCAAGCTTCCAGGTGATTGCTACAGTAACACCCAGGCAGTGTTTCCCTGAATGCTCATTTGTATGCAGATTGAAGCAATCAGCCTCCTACAAAGACCACGGCTCGTTGGCTTAATCAGTTACAGAGATTCATGCAAATGAAGTCGCTTTTTAGACAATGAGATACTGTAGTGTCGCCACAATAGGAGTGCAATTTGGAGTTTTCACCTCACCGTAATGAGAACAAACGCATTCACTCGATCCAAAGTGACAGATAAATAATTGCTGATTGAAAGTTAGCGCAACTATTTATCCTCTCATGTTGCAGAGCTGTTTGCTTACAGTATGTATAAGTTTTCTTCTGAAGATGAAATAACATTATCATGAGTCAGTAGTTCGAGCTATTATTCGCTTAGCAAGTTAACAGCAGCTGTGATTATCGTTTTCACAGGATAGCTAATGTTCTAGCAATCATGTGAACCTGCATCTGAACTGCAAAGTGAGAGTGATGAGGAGTGGGAGAGGAAACTGTGAAAGCAGACTGTAGGAGTGTGAAGGAATGCCAGCTACAAGGGGGTGGACACAATAACTGCAACACCTGTAAATTATAATGCAGTCAAATACAATGGAGCACAAAAGCCACAGTGGATCTTTTACTTTCCTTGGGACAACGATGGAGAGCTGTCTGACAAACAATCCCCATTAGAACTTTTCTGGTTTCACAGCAGTGAGATAAGTATTGAGGCCACTCTGTAAGACTGGTGACAACCTAAACACGCTGTCTGATGTCACCGTTTCAAATGTGTTCAGAAATAACTGGATCTGGCAGGACGCGACACTGCCGGTCTCTCCCCAAAATCAATAAGCTGCACAAACAGAAGACAAGCGAAGGCAACAGCCATGGAAGATAAACAGCAATTATATTTGTGGTTAGCTGAGAGCAACACATGTTCGCTAGAGTGCGGTTGTGTACAAAAAAGGACAAAAGCAGTCAATATTTGTCGGGAAGAGAGAGAAAGAAATGATAGAAAGACAGAGCGGATGAAGCTAGACATCTGTTTTTGAATCAGGTTTCTGCGTAAAGCCTTTAATCACAGTAACACTCAGAGGGAGAACCACGCCATCCATAAAGAGCCCTTCTATGGCTACTTCCCCCGTTAAAACAACAAAATTAAACACATCATAGTGGTAAAATCTATTCCTTTTCAGGCCTCCTTTTATGCCAGTAGCTCTAGAAAAGTTATGAGGCAGATTGTCAGGGAGATCACTCATTTGCGTCTCTGATAATAACGGCTTAATTAGATTACCAATCTAACTACAGCACTCTTTGCCCTGTAATTGTTGCTCCTTTATCTCTTCTGTATATTGTGTATATTGTGAAATGTCTCCGCTGCCTTTGATTAACATCCTCAGTCATGTTTCTTTATTGGAACTATTAAATATTCAGAGCAAATTGGATGACCTGACACAAATAGGGCCACCTCGGGGAGGCTACGAGCTGTAAAATCTGAGCAGCGCAATGATTTACACCGACAACAATAAACCATATGATGCACAGAAGCTAGGCTGGCACTTTCGCTCCTTAAATAACAGCACTGTGGAGGAAGGACTAGAAAGAAAGAAGGAAAGAAAGAAAAAAGGCAGGAAATTACACTGAGCATACTAACAACAGTGAAGGTAGAGTGCCTGTGTCTAATTCAGGGCAAAATCCACTTTTCCCTTTCAGGTCACCAGTTTTAATTTATGTCCACAGACTCATAAAAGCTGGATGTTGCTCCAGCTACACTAAGCCGATATCACCGGTTGGTAGCCAAGATAGATGCCTCAATATGTCAGAATGACTAGACATGCTTATCCACTTGATGTATTATATTTAACAAAATAAATGAAGCCAAGCAAATTAACAGCCCTGTGATAATTATCTGACTATAGACATTATGGTTACACAATAAAGCAATAACTTTCTGTTGATGGAAACGGATAAACGGGGCAAATGAAGTAGAGCAAAACATCTAATTTGCCTTGCTGACTAATCAATGGACAACCAAAGAAAACATCTGCATGAGCCGAATATCTGATGTCAGGCTCATGTACTCAAAGACGGATGGCTTTAATTTTAAAACTGATAATTGAGCTTTCTATAATGGCTCAGAGACTCCGAGCTGATAGCTTTACAAGATAAGGTGGGAGATGTGCGCACAGGGTTTTTTCCCTGCAATATGAGATTTGCTTCTCAAATAGGTTTCAGCCACATAAATGAAAAACAAATCAACACCATTGTAAGTATTTTATTATTATTATTAACTGAAAATGAATTTATTCAAGTATAATATACAGTTTGTGTTTCTCAAATTTCATAAAAAATAACAAGTCTGATTTCTGCCATAGGTGGGCACAGGTATGATTAATGACATTCATTAAGGCTCTAGATCAGGACTGTCACTAGTGTCATTAATAAAACGTATATTTAACTCATATTTCATGCAAAAGTTGTACCTGTTGTATGTGCCCAGATCATGGTTATGGCCTTATAGTCCACAGCCAAATGAAAAGTCCTGTCTGCACCAAACCAAGGTTATTATAAATAAAAATAAAAGACTGGCCTAAAAAACAAAAATAAATAAATAAATAAAACTAAAATACACTAAAAAAATCCATATGAATGTATCATTTTGGTCAAATTAACCAACAATACCAGAATGAAGAAGTACTTGCGTGTGTGTGTTTATTAGAACAGGGATGTCTACGCAACTGTGTGTGTGGGTCTGTGTATTTTAATATTGTAATACTGTTTTGTATCGTATTGTGTTGAACTTCTGACAGACACCACATGTATAACAACAAAAAGCTGCGGCTAAAAAAAAAGAACCGAAAAACTGTATTAAACTTAAAATTATTAAACAATAGAAACTAAAGTGAAATGAGCAAACTCACTCTGGAAACTAACTTAAATAAAAATTAAAAAAACAGATCTATGATAAAACTGCACCAAAGTGTAAAAATATGTATTTTAGACGTATGATGAAAACAAACTCGGGAGTTTTAGTTTTTTTAAAAAGAAGGTAGTTAATTAATTACTATCAGTTGGTAAGTGTATTTTTCCATGGTACTATTGTTGGCCTGGTGATCTAATGTAATATACAGCTGCATATTACAGTATCACTATACCCATAATACTGATATTTAAGCAGGAATGCTAATATAAAACTAGCCATCAGGTCCAGTTTTTAGATTTTATCACTATATTTAATATCTGTCCAGTTTAAAAAATCCTCCAAAATAATAATAATAAATATTCACTCCAGTCTACGATCGTCTATTGTTTCTGCTATGAGACAGCTATTTCTGTTAGGCATTGACAGTAATATTGTTGACCGGACTTTCTTTATATCCTCTCCACAGAGAGAAAGGATTCTCAACATTGAAAGGATCTGCAACCTGCTTCGCAGGGTGAGTAATAGCTGTTTTTCATCTGCTGGTGGTGGATGACTAAAGCAGAGGGGCTTCACAGAGCCATGACCGTTTGTCTTTTTTCATTGTGAGGACCATGACACACACTGATTCATTTCACATGTAGCCCGTCCCCACAACACGCCATTACCTCTTTACAGGCACACAGTGATGGAGAGCACTGATACAGCCCAGATGTTGTCAGCTTTTTATTTCAAGGCTTTCAGAAAAAGAACTTTGTGTCCGTGAAAGATCACACACTGTGGAGGCCATTTTAAACATGCTTGTGCTTGAAGATGGCCAGTGCCATTGGGTTTTTTTGATTCAAAGTTAATGGATAAATAAATAAAAATATATAAAATTACAAGAGTTTAATTTAAAGGCAGTAGCCACCATACTAATTGTAGTATTAGGGTCTATATGCTAATGTAGTAAAGAGCATTTTCTGAGAAGGTTTGCCTTGGGTTCAAATTGTTACCATTTTCTTGGGTTTTTTTTTACGTTTTTCTTTATATAGCTGCTCAGTGCAAGAAAATAAAATGCCACTGATGCATAATTACAATACCACCATGTTATTGAAAAGGAACTCTTATTGCTGCAGTGGAAATATAATTTCAATTACCCTTAACTGCTACACAGGTTTAATCTAGCATGGTAATTAGACTACATATGTATTAGTGATATTTGCTCCAACCAATCACTACTGAAATTGGTTCCACTAAAAATATTCAAATAATATTGAAACAGATTGTAATGACTGATGGAGCCAGCTAAGGGTTATGATGTCAGTCAAAGAAATGTAAGTTGTTATTTTGCAGCCATATTTTTGAACTAGCATCAAGATCAAATTGCTACGTGTTTGTGTATGTGATGTGATAGTTCTTATTACATTAAGTTCACATTAAATAAGGTTCATTTGTATAGCACTACAAAGTACTTCCCAAAAACAGAATAAACAAACAATAGATTTTTATAAAAATCAAACTATTAATCACTTAAAATAGACCATGCAAGACTTTATAAAAGCGATAATGTGTAAAGAATAAATTGAAATGAACATAATTAAAAGTTAAAACAAAACTTGGTGTTAAGCTAAGAATCTTAAAGATAAAAATGTTATAATAAAATTTGCAAGAAACAGGTCTTTAGCAGTAAAACACTAAAAGAAGACACTGGCAAAACTACCCTGAATGCTGCAGGCAGGTCACCCCACAACCAAGAAGTAGTGATGTGCGGATCGATCCTGAAATATCAATTCCTCCGATACCAATCATTTATGTTCTAGAATCGATTCTCACATTAAAATATCGATATTTTAGTAATTTAGGGTAAATTTGTAGTTTATCATTAACAGGAACACAGTGGAAAGAAACTATAACATTCGGATTGTCTACACTCAAAGGAACTACTTCCTCTTCCGCCTTTCATAGTCATTGAAATGGCTGAGCGTAATTGGAGTCATGTGCGAACCTATTTTACCTCCACAAAAACTGAGACGTGGTTTGTGATACATGTGGCAAAAACGTGAGGTGTTGTGGCCACACTAGGGAGACAAAGGCTATTAGGGGGATAAATACATTTTACAGTGTTTATTTATCGGATAAAATACGTTAAATGTCCGGAAACAGCGGGGGTGTCCAAATTCAGAGGCTGCTTCCACCTGAGGGCCCGGCCTTCGCGGTCTAAAGAAAGCCAGGTAGTACGGCACGAGCTCCCTCGGTGGAGTGAAACTGCCGTCTGCTCCTTGCTATCTAAAATATAACCGGGCGCTGGCGTAAACTCTCGACCGTCTCACACTTCTGTTTAATCAGTTTTCTGTTTGACGTTTATTCAGCTGTGTGAAAACCCCGAGGAACCCTCCTGAGGGATTAATAAAGTTACATTTTATTTAATCTAATCTAATAACTTTAATCTCAGCCAAACTGATTTACTCACAAACAAATAAAACACTAAAAAAGCCAAACAATAACATTTTTAAGTTATCTAAGTGACTTATATATTATGTTTAACCCGAGTAGCGAAAGACCGCAGGGGTTTGAAAACAATGTGTCGATGGGCTCGGATATTTGAAGTTTACACAGCTACATTCTCACCTGAAAATATGTTAAAAGTTTTTTTGCGACCCAGAAAGAGAAATAAGAGTAATATTAAAACTAAGCATTGTTGGAAACAAGTACTCTGATGTCCTGTAATCATTATGACGCTATAATTTGAGATACAATAAATAAAATACGTTTTTGTACAAAGTATCGGTATCGGATCAGTATCATCTATACCACCCTGAATATTACTTTGTATTGGATCGGAAAGGAAATCAGTGGTATCGCACATCACTACCAAGAAGCCTACTAGGGGTTACTGGTGGGGCTAACCATGCTAGCTTGTTAGCACGGTTAGCAAGGCACATCCACGGACTGTATGAGTTAAAATGAGAAACACAGATACACAAACCTTCTAACAAATATGAAATACTAGAATTTCACTCACCAAAACTGAAGTACAAAGCCACAGCATTTTCTGTAAAACAGTTCTATTAAAATGTTCCCGCACACTGAAGCCCGAGTCTGACATCTGAATTAGCGCAGGTGAAAGCTTAAAAGATTTAAGGTGAAAAGCCAAATAAAGAAAAATTCACCTCCTGTAGTCATTTTGTAGGGGTATATTAGTTATAGCAACCAAAACTCTTTTTTGGAACAAGAAAGCTCTTTAACGTAGGATTATATGGTTACTCACTGACTTGTAGAACAACTTTCAAGTGGCCACTTAAGGAACTTTCTGGTGCTTGCAAGCTGGCCTCATTTAGCCTAGACATTACAGCGTCGGTTCATTCTCAGTGCTCTCATTGCACTGCTTTTGGCTGCTACAGGCAGCTATTTTCAGAGAAAAGTTCTGAAAAGTGGTAACACACTCCCTGCCCAGCATGAAACACTAAAATGTTGATAAGTAAGTGTTCAGAGCTTGTTTCTGCTGCCCTCAAGTTGCCCCCTAAAAGTTTTTGTCCTTTCACAGTAAATGTAGTTTTATCATCTTTGTTGCTATCCTGTTGCCATCTTGAGTCTTAACCCCATCTCAGATTTTCCCAAATAGTATTTTAACAACCAAACGCTAGACTTTACATCACAAGAAAAAAAGGTCAGCAACTTACATCACCTTCTACTGATGTATAAAAAAGAGTCCACATGCAAGTGAACATATATTTGCACCCGTAACAGCAGCTAGCCCTGACTAACAGCAACACCTTCCGTGTGAAAGTGTTTGCCCTGCAGTGTGGTCTTGTACACTGTAATTCTATCACATCAGTGTTTTCTAAAGAGTTGTTGGAGTGTTATCACTTAATCATTTCAGTTTCCGTCCTTCTTATATTTCTTATTAGTTGGTGGTACCAGAGTACTCCATCCACGGTCTCTTCTGCCTGATGTTCATGTGTGCTGGAGAGTGGGTCACACTTGGCCTAAATATCCCGCTGCTCTTCTACCATCTGTGGAGGTATGGTCCCACAGCAGATGTGTAACTAGTTTGTGTTGGTCTGATGGGTGAGTGAGCCAAACCTCCTGCTTTTTTCAGGTTTTTTCATCGGCCCGCTGATGGCTCAGAGGTCATGTATGATCCTGTCAGCGTGATGAACGCCGACATTCTCAACTACTGTCAGAAAGAGTCCTGGTGTAAGCTGGGCTTTTATCTTCTCTCATTTTTCTATTATCTCTACAGGTAAGTGGGAGATTTACAATGTTTCTCATTTCATAATGACACTTCAAGGAATCCTTAGACGTGTGTTACGATTCATAAATTTGTAAAATTAATTTTAATTTATCATCCTACACTATTTCTTGTAGTATGGTCTACGCCTTGGTGAGCTTCTAACAAACAGGAGAGATGAAGAAATAAAATAACTGTAAAAGAAAAATTGGAGAACAAACGGAGACACAAACCTTTACTTTCTCCATGTATTCTGACCTTTCTGGCTTTGGGCTTTGGAAGTCTAACCTTGGACTAAGCACGAAGAACAATTTGAGTGAATGTGAATTTTTTCGAAAAAGCCTCTTTTCGATTGTATCATTGTACACCCGATACTGCCGTCGGACAACCGGATGAAATCTTGAAGGACTGAAACGCAGGTGTTTGTGTTGCCTTTGACCCATTATACAATTTAACAATATTTCTGAAGGGCTGGATTTTCCCCACGCTGCTCTTAATAATCCAGTCGCTCAACTCACTGTGAATCTCCAAACACTTGGGGACTGGAAAATGAAAAATTATGTCTGTATTCTTTGACTTTGACAATGTACTAAAAGCAGGATTGTTTTGCATATGGAAACTCTGACATCAAACCGTTACTCTGATCGTGTTGCAGAAAATGGGTTAGCAGTGTAAGAGGTTTAACGAACCTGGCATGAGCTGGAGTCTGCACAGACACCTTTAACCAGGACAGAGGATAAAGATTTGCCTGATGCCAGTCTCTGCCAAACGCAAAGTCAAATCAGACATTGGTAAAAAGAAAAGAAAATGAAATGAGAAAAAAGCAAGGAATTATCAAGGGTTGACTTAAATAAGTTTGACTTTAAGGGTCAATGCTTGTGATGTGCATTCAAAATAGGTGTGTCCAGAGGGCATATTTTACGCTATATGCTAGGTTCATGCTTTCCAAAGAGCGTTCAGCTCAAACATGCCAAAATGTTACCGCTGAAAATCATTGTGCCAAATATAAAATCAAGGTCAAAAGAAAAATGATGAGACTAGAAAGTAGTTGCAGTATTTTGTGCTCTCAAACCTTATCTTTAATTCTACTTTCTTTGGCACATTATTTTTTTGGCACAATATTTTTTTTCCTCAAAAAAAAGAAAAAAGAAAAAAAACTTTAGTTTTGTTGTGTTTTTTAGTGTGCAGGAAGCACCTTATTCCTCTTTCCAGTGATGTTTACTCTTATTCATCTGCATTTATACTATAGCCATTTTAGCACAGCAACTCTTCTCTGATTCGAGGTAGAATAGCATAGCATAGTCATCTCATGTACAAAAAAGCAATTAATAACAGTAATCTAGCAATGTAAATTGAGTCATGAGACATATCGATCCAGTGTTATTCAGTGTTTGTAACAGTGAGTGGGACAAAAGTGGCAGATGAGACAATAACGACTCTATGACAGTGTTTCAGCTGTTTAAGGAGTGCAACGACAGCATCGCAATACATCGACAAACATACAGCTGCAAAGGCAACAGACGTAAGAGACACACAATCTTGCTGATGACCAAGATTTATTAACAGTAAAGCCTTTCCTCGGCTGGCCTTTGCCGCCATGTGTTCATTAGATGGATCTGTTTGCAGATAAGTGATGGTTCAGATGTGTGATATCAGTAGGAAAACAGAAACTCTGGGGGCCTGAGAACAAGCTGTGATATTTGCCATACACCAACTCCAGGTGTACTAAATGGTGGTGTTTGATAGACAAACTGTGGGCTCAGATAGGAAAAAATGAGGTAAGGAGTCTCCGGAGAACACGGGTGGGCATTTCTCAGCTGCTAGACATGGCTGGCTGTAATCAGTTACCTTGCCCCCAGCCCTGACTAACCACGTCTTACTGTCAAGGAATGCCCACTTAAAATAATGGTCTCAGCTGCTGCAGCCTACTGAAGTTCTTGTTACGTAGAAGGATTCACAGCAAAAATTGACAAACTGTCCATGACATTTATCCAATAATTAAATAGTAGATCTGTTTAAATAAATTTAATTACATTTTATTTTGATAGCACAAAATCACAACAAGTCACATTCATATTACAAAGTAAAGACCCTACAATAATAGAAACAAAACCCCAACAATCAAACGACCCCCTATGAGCAAGCACTTGGCAACAGTGGGAAGTAAAAACTCCCTGATCATTCGATCAGTGATAAAAGTAACAGTATAATTTTCCAGTGTGTGTTAGCAATATATGAAATTTATTTCTAATGAAAACTATGTTTTCCTTAGAAAACGCCCACACTGCACTGTATACCAGTGCTTGAGGCTGTTTTGCTAAGCTCAGCAAATTCAATACAAATGTTTGTGTACATCAGCATTTCACGCTTTCTTGCCCTGCCTGTATGACTTAGCCACAAGCCTATATTTTTCACTGTAGTTTTAGCAAATGTCCCTCAAAACAGGAATAAATGCAATATTTCTTACAGAAAGAAACATTTTTGCATCAGCACTTTTTCCGGCAACAGCACTGTGTTTATCAGATTCATAAAACATTAGCCCCATGCACATTTGTCAAGCTGAAACACTGGGGGGAACGAAATGTACCAAGCCTTTGCTACAACTGTAATACTCACATCAGCTGAATTGTGGTTTGTTAATTTTCACAAAATGTGTTGGCAATTTGGAAAGGATGACTTTAATTCCTAATATTCAATTCAATTCAGTTTTATTTATATAGCTCAAAATCACAACAACAGTGGCCTCAAGGTGCTTTATAGGTGGAAGGTAAAGACCCTACAATAGTAAAAAGAAAACAGTGAAAATCCCAGCAATCATATGACCCTCAGTGAGCAAGCGCTTTGGTGACGGTGAAAAGGAAAAACTCCCTTTTAACAGGAAGAAACCTCCAGCAGAACCAGGTGTAGGGAGGGGCGGCCATCTGCCGTGACTTTTTGGGATGAGGGGAGGAAGGTTGTGGAAGAAAAGCAGAAATTAATAATAATTAATATAAATCCATGAAGTGTCCAGAACGTACTTACAGTTCTAAAATCACCTTCATTGACTGACATACAGTATGCTCTACATTACAGGAAGCCTAATTTCTTCAAAAAATATATCATATATTAGTCTTAAAGGAGAAAAAACCATGTTTTATAACCATTAATAACCCGTGTCGTTAATGTAGCTGCACTGTAGATGTTCAGGACATACACATACATAAATATAAACAAAGCCTTATCTAAGTCTGAAATCAAGGCACGCAGAGCAAATCAAACTGCCTGTGTGATCTGAATCGCAAGCACTGAAGCAATTTCAGTAGGCTGTCAGTGTGTCTGAAGACAAGACGGTGTATGCTGTTCCAAATAATGTCAAAAGTAATCACAGGACACTGAGACCTCAAAACTACAGTGTGAGCGTGTAGAGTCTGGACAATCGCTTCTAAAGCACAGGAACACGAGGAGGAAAAAAAAGGGGGGAGGAGACATACAGCTTGGTTGAATGTCATGTAGTTGCTGTGAACAAAGCCTTTTAGAAAACTGTATTTGAGTATAATTATTTGTATCTGTCTTTTATACATTTCTCATCAACGTACGCTACAGTAAATTTGGTGGATGACTTTATATATATAGATATTAGGCTACACTATGATGTACAGCCGTGCCATGCCGTATTCTAATAAAACAACGATGCCAAAATGTCCATTTCTATGTCGCTCATTTCCTGCCTGTTGAGGGTCAGCATTTATTTGTCCATCTGTGAAGAGTTGTCACAGAAATGCGATGTTTCTTCCGAAGATGTGCTAGAAGAGAAAAAATAAAACTGAAGGATGATGGGGACACTGAGTGGTGCATTAGACTGAGGGATAGGAGACGAACTGCCTCATTGAGAAGCTGTTGAAAAACAGCTGCATTTAGAAGTGGTTCCAGAGACATTCAGCCAACCTCTCTAAAGGCACCAGAATAACTAAATACCAATACTGATGTGGAAAAAGCTTCTACTGGAGGGCAGCAGAGAGAGGATTAAAGCCTTTCATTAACGTCTGCACCTTCAGAATACTAACATTTCAAATTATAGAGCTCTGGATGCCTATTAGATTACATAATAAAATGAAGCTGACAGAGTTCGTCTCCACAGAGAGACATCATCACTTCTGAAAATGTCACTGTAGCTATATAACATTTAAAATTCACAAGTTGTGATTCCTCAGAGAGAGAGGGGGGAGAGAAAAAAGACACACAACCTAAAACACTGAGTGTGGGTCTAAACTGGCTCTGGGGCTCATTTGTAGAGTCTGAAAGGTTTGCCAGGTTATCACTTGTTTAAATAATGATTCAGACAGAAAACAGAGAAACAACAAGGCTTCAAGTTGGCGTTTTCCCCTCTGTTTGAAGAGGACAGATCATTCTCCGCTGTCACCATGGAAACTAAACTGTATTAGAAATTCCTGTTGACTCACTCTGAAGCTGAAAACACAGAAAAATCCAATAGAAGTTGGTGCACATGCCTGGCAGCACTGCTTCACTGCCCAGTGCATTTATATTTATTACATCCACTACATACATATCACTTTCATATAAGCAGTTATGACACTTGCTTACACCAAGACACAGACACTGACACGCGCGCATATATACAACATTCACACACACACACTGAACCCGCTCACTCACAGCACATGCATCTGTTTCTCGTTCCCTCTCATCCCACGATTCACACTGTTTCACACTCATCATCTCGGGCTCTTCCTTTTTTCAGCACCCTCCACCACCATAATTGTCTCAACTCCTTTCCCCTCTCTCCTACGTCTGTGCACCTCTCAGCCAGGCGTTACCATGGAAACTGGCTAACAACTGATGGGCTTGAAAACGTCAGGATTGGCATGCACGATTGGCAAGCGCGCGCGCGCTCGGAGGTGCATGCACAAACACACATACATATTGTGCACATTCATTATTATACAATTCAAGCTTGGTGCATGTTATTCTGGCTCTATAGGCATGCATGCATAAGGAAACGATAGGTATGGTGAAGGGGTGCACACCAAATTTAAAGGGGGTGGGGGGTTAATTTAAGACAAATTAAAGAAAAAAGGAGAAGAATAAAAAATATGTAGTTACTGACTGTCCCTTTTTTGAATGCACACTCGGATTCCTGTAAAATGCAAAATGATTTTGGTTTGACATTCATCATAAACACTCTGCGCATGCAGTGAGACCTTTTTATATGTTTGAAAACTCAAAACAACAAATGAAAACATAAGCTACTTCCAGCTGCTCCCTTAGACACAAGGGGTTACCACAGCGGGTACCTCCGCATGTTTGGTTTGGAGGATTTTCACACCGGATGCCCTTCCTGACATAAGCCCCCCC